CGACGTAGGTAATAATAGTCTGTACAAAACAAAACACATTTTATGTATTATAGGTGTACGCAATTTTCGTTCATCTCGAGTAGGTAGGTATAAGCTATCTATACACACTAAACTAAGACTAACCTGTACTATACTCGTGATTGAAAATTTAATAATTTATATGAGTTTTGAATTATAAAGGGGGAGGAATATTTCTTCGGCTAATAAGGTCACATCAATGTCATGTCCGTTAATTTACCGAGGTATTGCGAATATATTATTTCGATAACTATATAATAAATGTGATTTTGAAAAGCATTCGGGAAGTCGGACTTCGATAAAGGCATGTAGTTGTGCAACGATAGCGGCGACATTACCTATTACTATGCACTCCGCTCGGTTATTTTATAATTCATGAAATAATAACTTAATATTGTCGTCTATTGGAAACGTGTTTTCAAAAACAAATTCTAATTTATCGACTTATACCAATCGAACTGCACATATACATATGTATACATGTACATATATATTGAGAGACGAAAAAATAAGTTAAACTCATTTATAAAATACCTACACAAACCGCGATTTTTCCGAACCATCGGCAGCGATAATATGATGGCGAAATGGCAAAAATGAAATATTTTGTTATTTTCTATAATATATAGGTACTTAATAATATTTGAGTTTCGTGGGATACTACTCGTCATAGTCAAGTTGCACGTTCAATTTTTCCTTTTTTTCCCTATTATGTTTTTACTCTATTCATTCTAATCATTTGGCAACGTCTAACCACACACACACACACACACACACATACGCCCTGCAGTGTACACACAAAACTATCGATTTTGTTTATACCTCTATACTATAGGACGGCCGACGTGATGGCCGTCAGGACGGTGATGTATATTTTACCTTTTGTGTGCGCACTACGTCGATTATGATTAATGTAACGAAAATGCATTTATACGAAAATGCAATAGACTAGGTATATTTACGAATACGAACGAATGCGTCAAACGAGTACCATTATGCAGGACTAATAGTAGGGTCATCTATCGGAGCCACCATTCTCTCCCCCCCCTCCTGTTCAAACGGTCATTTTATCAATAAATTCAATTGCGGTTTATACTTCCTAACCATACCCGTATACTTGTTCGACAATATTAACCACTTCGAACTATTGATACATTATGATAGTTACAACAGTTTTATGATACGCAAGCCATTTGTTTTTCTTCAATATTATTATGTAACTACAGGCATTAATTAATATCAATTGCATTGTTGCAGTTAAACTAAATCGAAATTTATTCTCTTTGTTTTATCACAAGCCAGTGCGATTTGCTATTTTTATTCTCGTCTTCCATTTACCTCCTTACTTCTATAATATCCATAACCGAAGATTTCTCATCTAACCTTCACGCCACTCACTATTCTCCACAATATGTTTCCGCTCTTCCAACTATTACTGAACCCGAGATAGATAAGTATTTGCAATTTTTTCACTCGATTAATAATTTGACCACGAACTCTGTTTAATCCACGCTGAGACAAAATTGTAATACATATAGTTGCATAGATAAAAGTATGTTACTTTTTTTATTCGTGCTGACCAAGTGTTAATAATTCGGAACGTATCAAATATATATTTTGTTATTTGGCCACATAGTCCGAGCATATACGGATTACGCTGCAGAAAATGTCTAAACGGTGGGGAGAGGGTGTAGTAGGGAAAAGGCATTAGACCGTTTCGAGTAATTGTTGTGTTTCCACTGACGATATTCGTTCGAGCGTCTAAATTCTTTCCGTGTATATATATCACGCACCTCCGGGAGAGGGTCGTATATGACGTATTATAGTTGTTTGCGAATTATTGGCCATTATTGTCTAAAAGTGTATAGTAGACGATCGCACCCGGACCACCAATACCTATAATCGTTTTCGTCCATCCATTATTATTATTTTTTTATTATTCGACCTACGCGATATATATTAATCAAAACGACAGCCGGGTATAGTATCTACCGGGTGTCGCCGGTTTCCGCCAAAAATGACCTTTCCGCTTTCCGCCAAAAACCTTTTTCCGCCAGTTATAAATTATAAAATTTCAACACATTTATCTAGTATATACGATTTTTTCAACTAGGGTATTATAAAAATAAAGATTATTATTTTATTTATTATTGTATTAATTATTATTTATGTATTATTGTCTTTAAACTTGCCGATAATGCTGTCCACAGCTATAGAGGGTAATCAATCGTCTCCTATGAAATTATTTATCAAGTAGTCGGAGTATTTTGTATAAAAATCATTAACAGGACGATCACCCTTAAAACCATATGAAAAATTATCTGCTATAGAAACAAAAGATCAAATTTATGTCATAACAATTTGCCGACTTCGGAATTTGTATTTTTATATTCATTTGATAAACAAAGAGACTGTATTTTCCTCCACCATGAATTAGTCAAATTAAATCTACAACCAATTATATTACCTTCCAATCAAACTTCAGTAACTGCATTATAATAGCTTTTTCATAACTAATAGTCACATTTGCCGGAGAAAAAAAACAAATAAATATCTTTGCATTTTTGACAAATATAATGAAATACCAAAACGTAGGTGGTTGTTAGTTTATTTGGTAATAAATAAAATACGAGTGGAATATAGTGACCGTTTTGGAATCCATCTATGGTAAACATTCGCTTAAAAAAGCGAGTACAATAATCAAATGTTCCATCCATACAAACAGTATTTACCGATTACAACAATTTTAAATTTGTGTAACACGAAAAAGTAATTATATTTTCATTTTCATTATTTAGTAACAAGAAATTTTCTTTTTGTTTTGTTTCTACAATTATAACATTTAAAGCTTGGCGTACTTCAGCAATGGATTTTGGAACTGCTAGGAGGGTTTTGCGTCTGTTTTCATACAAATTTTTTCTTATTTTCTTAATGTCATTTACTGTTATTTCTTTAGCACACTCATTATGTATTAATTCTTGTAAAATAATTTTATTTGGTCTTGTACATACATCGTTAACTGCTTGTCTTTTGCATGAGGTATTAACAATTTGCCGATTTATGGTATTTTCAATTACAGAATCGTGATTGTGTTCATTTTTCGTATTAAATATTTCATTATTGAAATGTGTGAATATTTTTTGCATTCCGTGGTTTATTAATACACCTCCAACGTAATTTATTTACACCTTTATATTCTTTTGCGAAATTTAAAATTATCAATTATAATTTGTTAGTTATCACGTTTATTGTTAATTATTTTCGCGGACATGGCTGGACACGGACAACCCATTTAACTTAACGCACATCATACACTGATCGTGATCTACGAAAATAATTCCGAAAAACCGAACACGTTTCCGATTTTATACATACTAGGTATAATATCGACGCATAAAAAACCCATAATATAATGTATATATATATATCAAAATGCGACATATTAACCGATAACTAAGAGCTATGATAAAAATTATATGGAAAAACAATGTTATTAAATATTTTTGCTAAAGGGGTTTCTAAACGTTAAGATCTTAATAAGATCTATAACTGGCGGAAAATGGTTCTTGCGGAAAACGGAAAGGTCATTTTCGGCGGAAACCGGCGACACCCTGTTTACCGATAGGTAACACACGTACGCACAATTATTCTAATGTATACGGTTTCTGTTCGTCGGGCGTTAATGTGCACTACACCTATTTCCTTACTGGCGTATTATTGCTGGTGTCCAATAATAATATTATTACAATTATTAAAATACGCCATTATAAGTATATAAGTATTATAGTATAGAGTGTAATAAAACAAACGATAACGCGATATCGTGACGTAACCGTGGTCGGTATAGAATCGCGATGACAGGGGATCCGGTGTTCAAACATAAGACGGAGCAGTGGTGTGTTCGACAATAATCAATGTGAGGAAATGTAGTAAATAATAATTATAAATGGATTGTGGAATTTTTTTACACCCAATTCACAAATGAAAATTTTAAATCCGGATTGAAAAAAGTTTAAAAAGCCCAAGATTTTCTTCCTTGTGACTTTACTAGAATATAAACGCTATACAAGATTAAAATAACAAAAGAAATACGAGTTTTTTTTATTTTTAGGCTTAACAGCTAGGGGAGGGAGATACAAATTATTCCTCTCTCACACGTTACCGAGGCACAGAATCGTTTTACAGTCGAAGACACGTCGTCGGGTATAAATACGAATAGCATATATTAGTAATTATGTAAAACCATTGATTTTTTCTAATATATTATAAAATAAATGGTAACACTAAAAAACCGGACACATTTCGTATCATAGACACTTATATATTATATTCGTAGGAGGGAAACGGGTAAGATGAAGAAAAAAGAAAATTACATTTTAATATTAAACAAAAAATAATTCCGTTAGCGGATATTAGATAATAAAAATAAATAATCCTTATTAATATTATAAAAATGTCGTATGCCATTTTCATACTGATGAGAACAACATAAATAAATAATAATAGTAATAAGAAGAACAATGGTTACTGCCTTAAGATTTGCGAATGATATAGCTTTCTGCGCGGAAAATGAAGATAATGTACAAAATACCCTAATAACAATAGATAAAATACTAAAAAATAAATACGGAATGCAATTGAACAAAAAGAAAACGAAATTTATGGTATGCAGTAAAGCTAATCCGGTTCGACTCAATACAAATATCGACAATGAACAAATAAAGCAAGTATAGCAATTCACATACCTAGGAAGCAATAAAGCAGAGGATGGCCGCAGCAAAACAAATATAATCTGCAGGTTAGCATACGTGAAAAGAGCCTTTCAAGAAAAAAGCCACATTTTAACTACCAATAGTGTGATGAGGAAGAAATTCCTAAAAAGTTATATATGGAGTATAGCGCTCTTTGGATCCGAAACCTGGACAATAAACTTAATGGAAAAAAATAGGCTAGAAGCCTTTGAGATGTGATGCTTCAGGAAAATGCTCAAAATACCATGGACCGAGAGGGTAACGAATAAGGAAGTATTAAATAAAATAAAAAGAAAACGACAAATATGGAAAAGTATTCAATCAAGAAGAGACGAAAAGACAGAACACATATTAAGGCATGCAAGTTTATTAAAGGAAATAATTGAAGGAGATGTTGAAGGACACATTGCAAGAGGAATACCAAGAGCAGAATACATGACACAGATAATGCAGGATACGAATAAGGGAAATTACAAAGACCTGAAAGAACTGTGCTACGATAAATAAGCATGGAGAGCTGCAACAAAAAAATCTACGGATTTATAACAAAAATAAATACTAATTGATAAATAAGTATAAATAGATAAAATAAAAATAAGTAGGTATTTGATTATAGACGACTATAATAGATTTTTTTGAAGTCAAATTTGTTATGAAATTTTTAAAAATCACGGACGTTTTGTGTACTTAATCAAGGTTGTGTTAAAGGGGTCTCCCATCTCTCCGTGTGGGACAAAAGACCGGCATGGACAAAAAATGTAAATGTGGTAAGGAGCTAGACGCAGGCCATTTTTTTAAATGCCCTACTATGTTACACAACTATCGATTAAACATAGTAAAGATGACTTTTGACGACAATCGATATTTTAGACAAAGCCATAAATGTCTGCGTTTACTCCCTTTTTTGGGAAAGGGAGGAAACACAGCGACGAAGACCGACACATAAAAAAAAGAAGATTCGAGTTTCGTTATATTAAGTTGTTTCCATACAGAGGAAAATAAAAACCGGTGGATTAACAAAAAATAAAATCCATCAAATTTTTAATTTTTTTTTTCAATACATTTTTTTATTTTGTTAATAATATTTTCCTCTTTTTTTTTATTTTCGTCCGTCGTGGTGTAGTAGTTCTGTGATTGTTGACGGTCGCATGGAACAGGGCGGAAACACCGCCACCGCTGCACTCGGTCGGATGTTATCGCGCAGTTCCGTGACTTTTTCGAGGTCCCAAGCGTTTCCATTATGCCGACCGTGGTATAGTATATATATCATGACCGGGTAGATACCGCGGTCGCGGCGGTACCTTGATATGCGATTATACACCACGGCCGGACATCGGGTGGCCGGTGCGGTGTAAAATGCCATAATAATTGCTTTCCTATAGCGTGCCCGTTAATGGCGACCACCGAATTATATACTATTATTATTATTATACCGCGGTTAAGGTGTACAAATAATAATATACCGTCACTCCTGTCCGCGTTTGTCTGCAGTTCGAACGATGTCGGATGTCGGAATATAATTTGGCGCGAATCCGGCACACCCCCGCAGCAAGTGCCGGATCTGGCGATTTGTATTTTGTTCTACACTCCCGTATTATAGTGCTCTTGTATATGAGCATACTCTTTTTACACTTTTTCTCTTGATTTCTGGTATTCGAATATAATATAATACGTATATTTTTCATACAACATCACCGATAAAATGATAATATTATAATATCCAACACGATTATGGATAGAAAATGGTTGCTCAACTAGTAAATATAATGGTTTATGGTTACTATAACCGCTTTCGAAATATCTCCATGTAATCAAGTTGCACGAAAAAAATTAATCGTTACACCTTATCACGTACATTAGCGGTAACGTAGTATACCATACTTTGTGTTTTGAATTCGTGATACCTATAACGATTATGTAAGTTACTATGATTAAAAATAATAATAATAACAATAATGATTATTAATCTATATACTTTGCTTTAGTAAAACGACGACAAGATTACAATTAGATTACAATTAATAGGAAATTCAATATATATATTTTTTATCCTTTAAGATTTTTAAAAATTACATTCGGTGGGGAATGTATTATTTTTTATTGAACTTTAGTTCTAGTTGGTATTTTAGAAGGCTATTTTTTGAAATTCCCATTCATGTTCGAGATAATTAGGAAATCTAGTTTTTTAAATTAAAAAAATATTTAAGGATTAAAAATATAAGGTTGTTATTGGCAAACGATTTTATTTATACTTTGGTATTAATAAATTTGTATTATTTTAATCTTTTAATCTTTTTAAAACAATCGGTGTTGTGAAAAAACGCATTGTTGAAAAAGCAATACTATTGTTCAAACTCCGCTCAGAATTGTTTTTCGTTAGCGAAACTGTCGCAAACAGATATAATTTTAACTCCTTTCTTTTCCCTACCTTCTAAACTTCCCGCCTACAAAAGTAGCAGCACCTATCCTCAGAATCAGCTCTTTTTATACTACAAATTTGTAGACTAAATAATTTGTTCCAATAAAATTTGGCCCGTCAACGCCAGGTGGTACAGCTAGTAATATATTATATCATATAAAATTCGACAGTCATAATTTTTTTTTTAAAGCGTTAACATGTTTTTCAGCAATTTTGACGATTAGTGCAATAATCACGTATATGTATACTATTTCTGGATTAATGTATACTTACTGCAGGAGATCAAAATACTAACGGTGAGGAGAGGAGAAGTTCAAAAATGTTTGATTTAGTCATCGGTACATTCGACGGATTATTTTCATGAAAAGGATTTATTAATTACGATGGTCTATTCGCTATAGTATATCTGTAAAAATTTAAACACTGAAACGAAAATGTTTTTGGGATACCTACGTCATTTTAAAAACGATATTCGAGGTACAAAATGACGTGTTTGCAGCCATTTGTATACGTTTTACCTTGGTAATAATGAATAATAGAGAAGCGGATAGTTCAAATTAACAATTTACCGCACGACAATCTCATTTTTGAAAATTCGGTAGTTAGGTACTTGCCGTTGTGAGGGGTTAGTACACCTATACGCGCTCTACTATATAACCTTCGGCGTGAAGGACGAATCGCCAAAAACGCAATATAATATACGGGTGAGTAACGCAGACAGTATTTTTATGTACGACGAAAAATCAAAGGCAAATCGAATTATTCCCCGGTTTTAAACAATATCGTATCCGTTGTAAAATGCGTAGGGTTCGCGATACGGGGGATACAAAATGATTCGATTCAAAATTCAATAATTCATTTGTCGTCAAAATGTATATGCGGTGTTATACTCGCGAAACGGATATTGTTCTATACTGCGTAAACCACCAAATTAAATATCTTAATCCACATTTGATATAGCTGCGGGTATCGGCGTGATTATTTCGAGTTGAGTTGTTTTCAAATACACGCGACTACGTTTTGTTAGCAAGTTTTAAATTTGACTGTCTGTCTGAAATATTTAGTCGACGTATCACGTTTACGTGGGCGAGATATCGAACAGACGGGCCGAGACGAGAAGAACGGCGGGTAACCCAATGTAATTAAATGGAGAATTTAAAAGAAAACGTACAATGTGAATGCGGTAATCATCGGCCATCTTATTAAATGCCCGTTACTGCCGAATGAACGGTAGTACGAGAGACATTACGATTCCGGCCAATATCCCAGACAGGATGGTACAAATAATATTTGGTGACGCTCGGTAGAGGCAGGCAATAAAGAGCTAAAGACCGACACGACACGAAGAAGACGTCGAATGTAATCCGAACGGTGTTTATTATGTTTGAGACATGGCGCGTGCTATATTTTATTGATATTTATTGCGCTTGACCGCCGGACTAACAGTACGCAATACACAAAGAATAATAACGATTATAATTTATTATTGAAAAAAAAAAAAACAGAAAAAAAAAAAAAAAACAACTTGTCCAAATTGACGGTACGGTGTTTTCGGAAATACCATTACTTGGGAAAAAAAGAGACGTCTAGTACCTCCGTGTTAATGGAAATATTTAGTCAGAGGACGCTAAACAAAAATAATCAGAATTGTTCCGGCCCCTCGGGTTTCCCCGATTCGAGCAAAGCCTATATTTTTATCGGGCATTCGATTTCATTACGTTTACTGTGTTCAAAAATAGATTTGTTGAAATTTTTCGGGAGAATGTTACTACCATTCCGATTTGCCAAAATGTATATTATATTATAACGATTTATGATGCGCAACGGTTTTTATAGTCACAAGTCACGCATTGTGGTACCTATTTTAAAATGAAAAAAAAAAAAAAATAGTAAAAAGAAGAAAACCTAGAAAAATAGAAATACTATAGGCCGCTATAAAAGGCTGTATAAGTTGATTGTTTTAAACATCAAATCAAAATTAATTAATTGAATTTAATTAAATCGTATCGTTTTCGAATATCGTCCAATCGTATCAATTTAGGTACTCGACATATTATTTAAATTAATCCGATTTAATTATATAAGAGTCTTTGTTTAAGAGAGTCGTCTTCAAAAACCAATTATTATTATATTTATTGTAAAATAATTTTAATTAAAGATTTAATCAACACGTAATATTGTGCGTAGGTATATTATATTTTACATTATTTTTTTGTTTTTAGCGAAATTATTTCAACTCGTTTATTTTCCGAACAATAGTAATCCAAAAAAATTATAGTATTCATAAACCTCGAAATAAATCTCGCCTTATGGCGAATACATAAAACAAAAGTTAATTAACTTTTTTTTAGGTAGTAACTTTAAGTTTTAACTTAATAAAGTTAAATAACTTTTATTTTTATCGTTTATGAAATATTCATTTTTAAAAACGGTATTAAAACTAAACGTGACGTCGTAAATTTATCAGTTTATATTTTTCATCTTATTTTGGTTTTTCTCAATTATTATGAAAACTGTTTGGAAAATCAAAAAACTACTCTCTTCGTGAACAGTTAGATTCAAAATGCAACAAGAAAATTTTGTTTTTCTACTGTAGCAATATTTTTGGTAGAAAACATTTAAAATAATGAAATCGTACGCCGTAAATTAGTTTGTATTTAATTTTTCATATTTTGCTAGTTTCTCCTATTAGTATGAAAACTAGATTGGAAAATCGAGAAATGGTTTTCTTTGTCACCATCTAGATCCAATATAAAAAAGGTCTTGTGTCTTTTTTTGACTAGAGTAAGTTTTCTATGAGAAATGTTTGTACATAGTAAAAAAAAAAAAAAACAAAATAAAATATAAATTATTCAGTTGTCTACTTCATTTTTAACTGAATCACAAAAAAAAAAAAAAAAACTATTAAAATAA